CTCGTTCTACAGGTCATACATTAGCACTCTTAAAAACCGTTCACAGAAAGGTCAAAAATTCTTTAGTTTGGCAGACGTTTTCCAGACCTTACCGGATATGTCTGTTTCAATTCATTCCTCGTTTTCTTTTCAATAACGTAGACATGTTGATAAAAAGGAATAACAGAAGTGAATACAAACCTATTCGTATGGGAAGATATGTGTTTTTACTGAAACAACCACGTCGGAATTAATTTTGGAACCAACAAAGGGAAATTGAGTAAAATTGCGCTCGCAAAATCGCTCTTGTCCCATGAGGTGCAAAAGCACAAAACGCGCGATGTCGTCAACGTGTTAATGGGTTCAAATTCGGAGAATAGAGACAAAACGATTAATAGAATGGGTCGCAGTAGAAAAGAGAAATATTATTGACATACACTGCGTTATGATACAGGCATATCGTTCGAAAACTCGGAGTTCATCAGGTCTCTAAAAAGCTGTTCAAGTAGAAAACGCGAGAAATTTGATCGCAAGATCAAATATCAAAACAGCTCCCAGCTTGGAAATGCAAAAATAAATTATGCACACTTCTGTGCAGGATGTCGATTTTCCTGTTCCGAAATGATACAGACACCCCGTGTTTTTTCGTTGCCATTTCATTTCCGCTTCACGTAGTCACACTGCTCGAGAAATGAGTCGAAGCTCCATCGTGGTTAACAATTTCCTCTGGAACCCTGTAGGATATGGAACGAAAAAGAGCTTTGAACATTCTTCTTTGCTTTTTGCTCAACTTAAACGCAGTATTACAGGGAGAGAGTTCAACTTAATCTAACCGTGCTCTGGACATGATACCTTCAGGTTTGATCTTTTATCTTTTATCTCTGAACATCATTTGGAATGAGCTGAAGATCTTCCAAAGACATTCTCCAGTGGAGAGTGGAAAACTTTGTTTGTGGAAGGAAATCGTCGCGAAAACCGAGCCTTTTTGCTGGAATGTTACCTACGCAAATGGAGCAATATCAGTCTAGTCCAGTGTTGTTCTTTACTTCCCGTCTGTTATTCTTTCGAGTTTTTCTTTCATATGAAGGTTTTCCCTTTCCAATAGACTCATATGGAGCAAAAAACATTAACACGTTGACGACCGCGCTATTTTTCGCTGTCTGGCGTGTGGGACCGCGCGCATTATTTTGACCGCGCGAGTGTGACATGACATCATGTCACACGGTCCCACGAGAACTCCTTTTTCTCAGGAACTGTGTATTTGTTATCTTTCTTGTGTGGTAGGTCTCGGATTTGCGATTTTGGCCATTTCAGCG